GCTTTCAACCCTCATAATTTGTTCGAGAGCAAGTGACGCTTTCGAGAGATGAAGTGGACTAAAATGGTGAATCTGCGGTGGATTTTCCAAAGTTTGGAGCCCAAAACAGACTTTAAAATGGTTTTGTAGCATTGGAAAAGTTTTCATGTTTGTCAGCTATTTTCCTGTGGGTGATATAACTGTATCTCGCCCTCGAGATATGTATAACATACAGTAGTTGTCTGATCTTACCTGGATTTAGAAGCCACTTGTGATTTTCATTTGCAGCAATATCAAATCGTCCGAGGCGTTGCTCGCCTGAGTGGCCGCGCCTTTCAGCGCTTGGAGCGAAATTTTTTTGTGAACCTTCCAGCGGTTTATAGTTCTTTAAAGAACCATGATATTGAACGTTGAATTAAAATGTTGAAAAGTCAAAGCTGCGAGAAAATTCTAGCAGCTTATTTAATGTAGCCCCGAATTGTCGTATCAGCCCAATGAAAGAACCGTGGACGCCGCGCACGGTTGACCCTCTTTCCTTGCGGTTTCGAGTCAAATGTTCTAATAAGTCGTCGTCTTCGTTTGATGATTAGACTTTCCATGGCTGTGTTGTTTAAATCGATTGTGCTCTTGTCGATTCCTCTGACATTTTAAAAATAAAGATACGGCAGATTAGTTTTTAAGCTTAGGCTGCAATCGCGGGAGAATCTTTCACATTTAAGCAGATGAAAGCGCCACCTTTCTTCAGTAAGGTAGAGTGATGACAGACAAGAACAAACGACTCGCCTAAGCTTTCTGACCTCATCACTTTTTTTTGTAGGCACAGCTGAAAGAGTATGACACTTGTAAAGTGCTTCCCAGACTTTCACCTCTAGACACGGTCGATATTCTTTGTAGTATAGAAATCATGGAGCACCAACTCCTGTCCTCGAAAAAGCCTTTCCAAACGAGAAATGAACGCTATAAGAAAATAAAAAGAAATAAGAAAGAGGAATCTGGTCAGTAAAACATCTGATCAAGTCTGACACTTTTCAAATACTCGCCTATTATCCTCGCAGCGACGATCTTTTTCTTCAACAGGGGAAGTGAAACAATTAACCGTTCGATGCCTGTCCGAAAAACACTTGAATGCACAATGCATCATTTCGGTCTCGGCGGCAAAGAAACCCAGTTCTGAGTTCTGAATTGATTTCGATAGTTCTTGTTGATATCTTCCTTTTCTTACCAAATTGATCAACCTCAGTCGATGAGAAACCTTATCATGTTGAAAAAAATCTTGCGAAATTTTTCTTCCTGTAACTTGATATGCAGCCAAACCTGCGAAAAAACTGAAGATTATCCAAAGTTTGAAAAGTGGAGTGTCCAATTTGGTTGCGCCTAACGAAATACAAAGATGCGAAACAGTTATGAGGATTTCACTGAGCAAAATAAATGATCATCTAACTGGAGATTGCTTAATTTTTCCAATATTCACATCTTGCCCCCTATGTCATCTAGATATGGACATGTTGGAACAATCAAACAAACGAACTGTTTGATTTCCTCAGAATCGACAAATATTCACGTAGGTTACTGTCAACAAACTAAGGTGTCTTGCGAAAAATTCTTGTTTAGTGCGCTACTTTTAGAAAAAACCATGGAAAAATATGTCACTGTAAAATTTATAAGAGTATTTGTCACAATTTTTGTTTTTGTAGGCACGCGAGAAAGCCTTTCTAAGAACACAAAACTGACCGTGTTTTCTTTACTGAATTACAAGCCTCTGCGTTACCAAACAAACTGGACAGTATTATTCAGCAGACAATCGGCTGACAAAGAGTTTGAGGCTTTTGCGATGTTGTTATTTGTTCCTGAAAAAATCTATTTTGAAGAAAAAAGAATATTTTCGGTGGTTGTTACGCTCTATGACGCGTCACACGAGAAATATTTCGAATTTTGTAAAAGCCTCCCACAGTTTGGTGTGTTAATATCTTAACATTCTAGCCAATTTTCATGAAAATCTAACAAATATACGTACCCCATGAATTCGTTTAAGTAGAGGTAACTCGCGTTAAAACAAACCTCGAGTTAAGCTTGTGGCCTCCAAAGAAATTCGCAGTTGTCGCACCCCATTTAAGGGCAAGGCAATGCAGTCATGCCGGCGACTCATGAAACGCAACATCGAACTCCCTGGTAAGTCTCGTACAAAATTCGCAAGGAAAGGTCATTTCGCGAAACGGGGAAAACGTTGTGTTCTGTTTTCGTTGTTGTGCACTGCAAGACATAAAGTAAATAGAATATGCAAATCGTGATCAAGGAAGAAAGCCCGCGGAAAACGTCAACACTCGGCGGAAGACCTTTCTGATTATGACACCTTTCGCTCTTCGACGCAGGTTTCCCCGACATTCTCTCAGCCGCAACTGGCGTTCTTTCAAACATTGAAAATTTGGAGAAGATTTTGTTGACAATAATCTCAACAACACGATGTTTGTGACACTTCCTAGATTCTTACTATCATTGGCAATTAACCTATGGCAAATTTCGACTGACTCCGGTCAAAGCATACTTATAGAAAAACTGAAGTTTTCATACTCAAGTTATTGACGATATGCTAGTATATGCTCGCCAAAATAATTTTTAATGATGCAGAATAAAACTATAATTGTTTCATTTTTCGCTCGCAGCGAGAATTATTAAGGCGTCGGTTTGTTATTTGTCTTGTTTCGTGCAAATAAAACGATACTCGGTTTTGATAATTCTCGCTATCATGCAAAAACGAATCCGAAGTTAGTTAAGTAACCGATTTTTACAGGAGTCCAGAAAGATAGGAATGTTAACATTTCTTTTTTTTTGTGAATTACACTCATTTATCGTTCCATTAAAAAAATTTGAGACAGAATAATGATTCTCTTATTTTTTCCAATCTTTATTCAAAGGTGCTATTGTTTTTAATCATCACCGAAAACAGCATTAGCTATTCATAGTCCTTTCCGATGATTCAGCAGGAATCCTGTGCGTCCCATTGATGGTACACGATAGATGAATGAGTATGGCAAAGAATTCGGAAGATCAGCTTCACACACATAAACGTAGTTAATACTTACGATGTTTGAATCTTAAAATAGAGTGAAATGTTTGTACAGACCAGCTTTGTTTATGACGGAAGGTGTTGACCACCAACGATTAAATACATTATCTCTGATAATCCTACCTCTCCAATAAGCACCCTTTCTAATAGGACCTCCTCTTTAGTAAGTCTCTCTCTCTGATAAGATTCCCTTTCTAATGAGCCCCTTTCTCTACTTAACACCCTTTTTAGTAGGTCTCCCTCTCTAATGAGTCCCTCTCTTAAACAAGCCCCTTCTCTAATGATTCACCCTCTCTTAAAAGCCCCCCTCTGTAGTAGGCCATATGTAATTCTGTAATAAGCCTCTTCTCTAATAATCTCTCCTATCTAATAAGCCCTCCTCACTGATACGCCTTCTTTCTAATAAGCTCCCCTCTCTAACAAGCCTCTTATAAGCCTTCCTCTCTAATACCTTCCCTCTCTAATAAGCGTCCTCTATAATAAGCCACCCTCTTTATTACGCTCCCATCTCTAATAAACCTCCCTCTCTAATAAGCCCCCCTCTCTAATAACTCCCCCTTCTCTAATACGCCACCTTTCTAATAAGCCTCTCTCTCTCAGAAGACTCCTCTCTTAAAAGTCTTACGGAAGGTGTTGTCTACTGCTACTGTTAATGCTATTTCTGCCGCAGTCGTTGCAAATGATTCAAGATGAACTCTATAACTACTGATAATATCATTCTTACTGATTTGTCTCATTAAAGCAGAGTGCACGACTTCTGCTTAAAAATTAAGTAAGACTAGGAGACTCATAATTCATCATCATCATCAATATTGCTATCATCATTATGTTCTTATTCTGATCATTGTTATTATTCTTAATTATCATTAATTCCTTCCGATTTGGGAAATAATTGTTTTTTGTTTTTGATCGGTTTTACTATATCTTAATTACACTGACGATAAAGTTAACCGATGGCGTTGTACTTCAGTCTTTGGCGTAAATGTTTGTTTATGGTGTACTTGTCTCAATATTCTGTCCAAACCTTCAAAATGAAAGAAGAGAATCCTTACTGTTTAATGAAAGCATTGTGATTAGATCATAAGCTGATTGTTTGGGAATTTGATAATAGCAAAAGAGGGTAGACAGAAATAAACAAACGGAACGAATTGACGATGAAAACAAGCAAGCATTTTAACATTCCGTGCAGAGTACATGTCAACACTTAAGATGTTAATAAGGTTGCAGGTGTCTTGATTTTTCTACTTGGATTAAGTAAGGATTCATAAATCTAAGTCGCAGATAGAGGGTTATGATAAATTATATTTCTCTTTGAATAGAAACGCTCACAGGTAATAATCAGTAACCGAGAAGCTTCATCTCATGCTTGCGACGCGGAGCTCTGAAAACCATTCCCCGTCGATAAAATGAAACCAGTACCTCATGCTTCAAATCCAGAATTGAGAGAGTTGAGAACCACAAGCGGGGAGCTTTCATGCCTGTCATGAGTTAACAAGTTTCCCCTATCCTAAGCTTCTTTAGCGTATAGCATACGAGATATTTCCCTTTTCACGCCGAAATGTTTCTTCAAGGAAGACTTGAATGATTTCTTAAAAAATCTAAGGTATCTTGTTTAATTGATGGTGGTCTGTGAATTTTAGGCAAAATCTTCGACGTGCAGAACTTAAGTGGGTAGCAACAATTTTGAAGAACCTTCCTCGTTGGTCTCTGAAACTGATAAGCAGATACTGAAATAGTTGCGTATAAATTGGCAGATATTTAATACTGATAAGCCACTTAAAGGGCAACCACCTGAAATCATAATTAACTGTTAGTGTCTATTCCTCATTATTTGCCTTTCTTTTGTATATGTAATCGTATGGGCCCTAGGGCAATTAAGGATTATTTTCACTTGTATTTTCAAAGTTTTCCCAAATTGCCTTTGTCGCTTCGAAACTCGGGCAATTTTGGGAAAACTTTGAAAATACAAGTGAAAATAATCCTTTATTGCCCTAGGGCACTTTCGATTGCTTGTTTATCACATAAAGGGCAAAAGTTTTGAAGGAATTACATTCGCGCACGATGTCCGCTCGATGAAGCCCCTTCAATACCACCAGAAATGTTAAAACTAACGCAACTAACCAATAGATTTAATGAACATTTTGTTCCCAAAATACAGTTAACAACGTTACAAGGCTTCATTCAGTTGAATTGCAGTCAATAGATCGTTGCCGCAAACAGCCAAAAGAAGCAATCAACATCAGTAATCATGCGTTCTTGATTACCTAATGTGCTCTCATGATTAAGAAAAAATACCCTCTGTCTCAGCCAATAGGCATTAATTAAATTTTTTCCGCCGCATCTGATAGTAGTGGTTTCTCTGCTTTTAGTCAAAATGTGGGAAAAATCCTTATAAATTTGATAAAGTAAGAAAAAATGAACTTTTCGATACTCCTTAAAAGGAACGAAGTTAAGACCCAAATTAAATGTTCGTTCACTTAAATATTTTCTGAGAACTCTAACTGGGCACGTGGTAGTTAATAATTTCCTGAATAAGCTTAAGTGAAGTCCAAGGGATTATTCGATCCCGGTCCGTTTGGTACATTTAGGGGTTTCCCTGCATTAAGGCTTTCAAAGCTAAGAGGACTGAACCATTCTAAGACATAATCACTCAACTGTCATTTCGGCAAAAATTATTTGGAGTTGTCCTCGCAACAACCCAATTGGTAATAACGACGGTATACTGATATAGAAAGTGCGGAATACCGCTTTTATCAATTAAACTAAAAATCTTTCAATTTTCTATGGATTTACCAGTGAAACAAACGATATGTTTTAGATCTATAAGGGAACTGGCACTATCTTAGTTATTTTAAAATCCACTTTAAGTTCAAGCTTGAATGTTTCTTTAAGGTGTCTGGTGTCTGCAAAATAAAACAAAAGAATGGAGAGCATCAAGATATGATTATATGTTAAGACAATACTTTTGTTGTAGTAATTGGAGCACCTTCCTTTCCTGCACGATAAGGGGAGATAATAACTTCAGTCTCTCTTTTTGGCAGATGGCCTGCAAACCATGGGTAAAGCCTCCCTATAATTCTGACCACCAACCTATTTCAACATTGTATGTCTTAACCCTTAAACTCCCAAGATCTGACTGACAATTCTCCTCTCTGGCTGCCACACATATCCTGGTAAACTAGTTATGAGAATTTGGTGTTAGGTCAAGATAAAAACCTCTAACTGATACGTCTGAAGATTCTTATTAGCTGTGTGCTGGATAATGTAAGGATATTATAGGGAGAAGTTTCATGTTCATCACTTCTAGGAGTTAAAGGGTTAATAAGAAACAGATCAGTGCACTACATTTGAAAACGACTGAATTGGCACTTTGATCGAAAGTTCATTTCTATGGCTAATCAATTGGAGAACAAAATTGGTTCTGAATTTCGTTTCTGGACCCTACTCTAGCGATTAGGAGAGGCAGCCAATTATCAAATGTGTTACTTCATGTTTTCATACCATTGGATATGATCTCTTATTGCTTCGTTTTCCTTCATGACTTGCAACCTTCTTTTTACGTCTCTGAAAAAAAACCAATATAGCGAGATAATTAACAAATACAATGTTTTTACAATAGTTTTATCCAGTACTGTTGACGTATTTTTACAGTTTTTTGTTGTTGGAATTTGGTTTTTGAGGCAAGTGAGATTAAAGACTTTAATACATTGATGAAATTACTTACTCAGACCTCTGGCTGGACTGTGCACTATTCTGTTTGAAATAAAAATATATTTTTGTGAGTGGTTAATTTTTCCAGAATCATGGCTCGTAAAATAACTTCAGTAATCTTTTTCTATGTAATCTTCTAGCAGCGACGTCGTACTTCGAAATGATCCATAGGGAAAAAACCTTAAACTGACCATATACATCGTGCTTACTTTCACAGTTATATCAAAACTGAAAATGGTGAATTAAGATACAGAAAAGTCTTTTCGGTGTTTTCTCATTTTTTTTATGGACATCACTTACCTGAAGCTCGGAAAGATCCCGTGATATTCCATCTGTGTCTGTTAACATGAAAACGCTGACCACCCACCTATTTAAACATTGTAAGTCTTAACCCTTAAACTCCCAAGATCTGATTGGTAATTCTCTTCTCTAGCTGCCTCACATATTCTTGTAAACTAGTTATGAGAATTTGGTGTTAGATCAAGATAACGGCCTCTACCTGATAAGTTTGAATATTCTTATGAGCTGTGTGCTAGATAATGTAAGAATATTATAGGAAGAAGTTTCATGTTCATCACTTCTGGGGGTTGAAGGGTGAAAAAGAAACAGCTTAGTGCACTTTATTTAAAAATGGCTAAACTGGCACTTTGATCGAAAATTCCTTTCTATGGTTAATCAATTGGGGTACAAAACTGTTTCTAAATTTCGTTTCTGAACCTTACTCCAGGGATTAGGGGAGGCAACCAATTATCAAATGTGTTACTTTTTGTTTTCATACCATGGGATATGATGTCTTATTGCTTCGTTTTCCTTCATGACTTGCAACCATCTTTTTACGTCTCTGAAAAAATCAAAATAGCAAGATGATTAGCAAACACAATATTTTTACAATAGTTCTATACAGTGCTGTTAACGTATTTTTACAGTTTTTTGTTGTTGGAATTTGGTTTTTGAGGCAAGTGAGATTGAAGACTTCAATACATTGATAAAATTACTTACTCAGACCTCTGGCTGGACTGTGCACTATTCTGCATGAAATAAAAATATGTTTTTTGTAAGTGGATAATTTTTCCAGAATCATGGCTCGTAAAATAACTTCAGTAATCTTTTCCTATGTAATCTTCTGGCGGCGACGTCGTACTTCGAAATGATTCATAGGGAAAAAACCTTAAACTGACCTTGTACGTCGTGCTAACTTACACAGTTATATCAAAACTAAAAATGGTGAATTAAGATACAGAAAAGTCTTTTCGGTGTTTTCTCGTTTTTTTTATGGACATCACTTACCTGAAGCTCGGAGAGATCCTGTGCAATTCCATCTGTGTCTATTAACATGAAAACGCTGAAAAGAAATCAGATTGTCATCATCGACATCTTTCGCAAAATTAGCTACAATTGAAAGAAAGAGGTCTTTAACCTCCCTTTTTTCTCAAATAAGGAAACATCAATATTGCGTGGCTAAAAAAGGGGAAAATGGGTGGCAAGTACAAACAATTTGGCCCCTGGAATGTTAAGCAAACAGAACAAGAAGGGGGGCGGCGGAGGGAGGGGTGCAAACCATGGAGAGCGAGAAAAGAGTTGGTGAGTGATTGAGACCACTGTGATATTCCTGACAAACATTTTATACTGTTGTTTTTGTTGTTTTAGAACTATAAGCAGCGATCATAATTAACACGTGAGTATTTAGATGGCGAAGTTGCTTCTTATTGATTGATTTTCAGGATTCTTACGTGATATCACGTGGTATCATCCTAAGGTCAGTTCAAGTGAATAGTTCAGCAATCCTCATACAAACAAGAGTTGATAACAATTTCTGTAAACCTTATGAATGTCATTGTGAGTCTTTCATTGTTAGAGTCATTTTCAGTTACTTATTTTTTGCGAGTGCAGACAACAGTAAAGGTTCCTTAAAAATCCACCCATTTCCCCTCCTCTTCAATTTACATAAAACATGAAACCCTTATTAGAGATAAGGAGAGGCAGTCAATTTTCAAATATGTTAATCTCTGTTTTCAGACGATTGGATACGATCTCCTATTGCCATGTTTTCCTCCATGACTTGCAACCTTCTGTTTATGGTTGTAAAAAAACTAAAAAATAAAATCAGTACGTATTCAGTATCCTCTCTCGGATACGTGACAAATATGATGTTATTACTCACTCTGATCGCTGGCTTGATGCTGCATCATCCTGCAAAACGAACAAAATGTTTCTGTAACTGTTTGAACGTGTCCTTTAGTAGCATGTCGTATTGTCATATTGATCAAATGAAGCCTTTAAGTGCTACTGTGGTTCTTTCTTTATTCACTCCGAGCTTTCGCCGTTCTATGGCATCATCAGGGATGATGCCGTAGAACGGCGAAAGCTCGGAGTGAATAAAGAGAGAACCACAGTAGCACTTAAAGGCTTCATTTGATCAATATCCCACGTTTCTGTAACTGGTTAAACGTTTTATAAACGTGTTATGAATAACGAAAGTATACTCACCATTGTGTATCCATATCCACTTCTGCGCAAACGCAAGCAATATTGTGATAGACGTGATAGACTGGATCGAAAGTCGCCGCACCAGCGCTTATGGGAAGACGGGAGTCAAACAAACATGGCGGAACGTAGCGCGGAATGTGGCGGTGACAGCGAGGTTTTTTAGCAGAATAAGATTCAATATAGTCGAAGTAATCGAAAGAAACAAATCTCAAGGTGTGAAACCAAGGGAAGAAGATGTACCTGGAGCAATTTTACCTCGGGAAATACCAGAAGAACGCACCGTGAAAAAGCTGCAGAGATGGCTTCTTTACCGTGGAGCTAAAACGACTGGAAAGAAAGTGCTTGTGAATCCTTCCTTAACGCTTGCACCATCTTCTACTTCAAAGCCATGTGTATGGAGTTTCCCAAGAAAAAGGGGAGTTGACTATCTGCCAAATGGTCTAGTCAAGTTTAGAAGGCACCAGCATGGGAAACCTATCAAAAGTGAGGATGAATCTCCAACATCAAAAAGTGATGTTTGAGCACAACACCAACAACACGCAAATTCAAATACTACTTTATACAATTTAATTTTCGCATAGTGTCAGGGAAATTGAGGAAAAAACCCGGCAAAAAGATTGCATTGAGCTTAATTTTATCCCAGAAAACTTTGGAGAAATATAGGAAAGATGCAGCAAAATCAAGAAAAGGGTATCTGTTGATGAAAGGGATGTTGATCGAATCGAAAAAGAAACTGTTAAGGTGGCTTTGAGCCCGAAAGGTTATTGTGGCTCTTGAAAAACGGGCCTCAGCAGGCCCGACAAATTTGAAAATTACATGACACTTTTGAAGAAGAAAAGTTCCTAACGGATCCAGCGTTTTAATACGACGCGTAAGCCCAGTTTCAGGTACACACAAATTAAAAATTGAAAAATTAAAAATACTCAATTTTTGTATGTATATTTTTATGCAGACTTGTCTAGCAGCTGCCGCAGTGAGAGTATCAAATCATTTCAGTCTCCATATTTCAGAATTTTGATGAAGTTCCGCCCTCGAGTTTCTGTTGCTGCAAACGTTAATCTCCACAAATCTCTAAATTTCATGTTTTTTTTTTGTTTAATTTTCTTTCCTTTTGTCTTTTTGAGTTTGAACGCGTTTGAGTTTGAACGCTTAATGTATAATAAGTTAGGTCGTCTATCATGGTAACCGAATTATAATTCAAAAAACAACAACATTTTCTCTCAAAAGGGAGACCAGAAAGATTAATTTTAACTAACAGAAAAAGATAGTAAAACATACCATGACACGTCATTATTAAGGTGTATACAGTTCCGTTTTCCTGGGAAAAAAATTATTGGATTAACCATGAATCCTTTCTTACAGTTTTGGTGTTTACAATCGTCAGATCTTCCGAGAATTTGTCGATTGTCTCCTGTTATTTAAGGAACATAATCTCGAGTTCTTTTGTTTTCTTCTATAGCTTGCAACCCAATGTTTGTGTCTTTGAAATCATAAAGATAAAAGGGGATAATTAAAAGTAATTTTCATGGTAATAAATATTACTGCCACTAGCATAGGCGTATTTGTATGATGTAGGAATGAGAAATGAAAATACCTAGATCTCCGACTCACACTCTTGTATTTGAGACCAGCAACTCCACTTCACAATCCTGTCAATCCTGCTTTTATGTATGAAAACATAATATTTCTATTAATACGCGAAATTCTATCGATATAAAATGCATATTAACTTTAAAATGCGTCATTCCTTAATCGAATTTCTTGAATTTATTATTTTTAAGATTTATGGAGTGCAGTTTTAAACATCTAGTTCACAGAGTTTTCATCGTAGTCACTTACCGCTATCTTTAACCTCACCCGATGATCTAAAAACCCAGAATGCAATGCTGTTCTTGTTTTAGTTTGATTCTCTTCCTTTCCGGGTCGCAACATGCATATTCCAGAGATTTCACTATACTTCTGAAAAATATTCGAGCAAACTCGTAGGCACAGCTGAAATAGTATGGCACTTGTAAAGTGCTCCTAAGACTTTCATATCTAGACACGTTCGATATTCTTTGTAACATAGAAACAATTCCTGTTCTCGAAAACAAAGCCTTTCCAAACGACAGATGAACGCTATAATAAAAATAATAAGAGATAAGAAAGAGGAATACTGTCAGTAAAACAAATGATCAAGTCAGACACTTTTCAATACTTGCCTATCAGCTTCGAGGCGACGATCTTTTTCTCCAATAACAACTCAGGGAAAGTGAGACAATTAACCGTTTGATGCCTGTCCGTAAAATACTTGAATGCAAAATGCATCATTTCAGTCTCGGCAGCACAGAAACCTTGATACCTCTACTTAAACGAACCCCTGAGGCTCATTGCCGCTCTGAACTTTCCAAAATCTGCCCAGCTGTTTTAGCATAACCTATTCGTGCCAAAATTCAGGATGTCAATTCAAAACTTTTTAACCATTTGCTCCAAATTAAGGCCCAAGAACTCGACCATCTTATCGGTCCTCAAATTACTAGCGACTCATCGCCTGAAAACCTCAAAACTGTAGTTACCATTCCAGAAAATTTACCACTTTCCGATTCAGAAAAAATCAGTTCTCAGTAAGGGCTTAAATTTTGTTCCTATTTCCAAGAAAACCGACCAATTTTCAGTTAAGCGAGACGTTGAAAAATTCCTTCGCCGCGTTCGGTTGAAAGCCTTTTTCACGATAAAGAGGATGATTCTAACATCTCGAACCAAGATACTTTCGAAACAGTTCAGATTCGAAAGTCTAAATGGACTCCCCCAGAGGGCCAGTTCGCATCTTTGGATTTTTTTCATCAAAAAATGTCGCCACGATATCAACAAACTGAAATTCAATCGTGACACCAAATTTTCCAACCTTTCTTCGGAAGAGTGGTTGGCGCTGAGAAATAAAAAAAAAAACTGCAAAGAAGTAGTTACCAAAGCGGCCAACAGAGGCGGCGCAGTTGTTGTTTGGCGGGACGACCTCTACCAAAGAGAAGCTTTGCGGCAACTTTTTGACACCTCCTTTTATGCAAAAGTTGACTAAGATCTCACTTTCATCAACCAAGACATTGTCAAAACGATCTTAGAGCTAGACAAGAATTGCCAGCCACTGCAAAAAATCTTACCATCACCACTCCTAGAACTTTGTGTATTCACTTTTAATCTAAAATCCACAAATCTTACAACCCTGGTCGACCCATCGTTTCTGCCTGCAGTTGTCCCACCGAACTTATTTCCCGCTATTTAGACAAAATTATGGCGCCTATCGTCAAAACTTCACCATCTTACAATAAGGACAGCCAACACGCACTTGAAATTTTTCGTGACTTTAAGAGGCTGTCTCTCTTATTTCCACCCGGTCAATTTTGCGTCAAAAATAATTTTGCCTGAAACTCTGTTAACAGAAAGACTTTACCTAGGAAAGAACTAAATTAGATTTGGTTTGATTCGAAATAATTTTCTGACTGCATTACTGGCCATAATTATTTCCCAGTCTGAAGGGACCGTCGCAACGTCTCGAAAATTGAAAAATAGGCATATTTTGTAACGTTGTAAAATATTTGATTCGCATAGTTAAGCCACAGAATTTATATCAGATTGCTTAAAAACCTTTCTAGTTTGCCAAGAAAGTTAGAATTTGCCCTCTCAACATATTTGAAAAGGCGAATTTTAGCATATTCTGACCACTAGAAATCGCCATCGGCCGATGGCCGTAAATAACCTTGATTTAGACGCTAAGTTTTGGGATTTGGGACCTGGTTGACGATTCTATCCTACACAGCCGTTAAGTTTAGACCTTTATAGGCAAAAATATGCAAAAACCCCCGTACGTTTTCTATTTTTCAAAAGTTATGACCGTTTGAATCAGCACATGTACGAGCATTCGCGATTTTTTCGCCTACACCAAAATCGAACCACTGGAGCAGATTTTGTCATAAATACAGCTTACCCGCTTTGCAGCCCGGCTTCATGGCTCACTTCAGAGTTTTTCTAATAACCAAATTGGTGAAATCCATGATAACTTCAACAAATAGCTAGGTATTGCCTTCGAAAAGTAGGCGGCATCCATCGTGATTCGTGGTATCAAAACAAATGCCGGAATTGGCCACATTTCGCGGTGAATCACCCATTTAACATCGCTGCAGAGCTTAATTTTTTCCAAAATCAGAATATAAACTCTCCATGTCTGGAAGCTGAGGGAGAAATGAAGGTTTGTTCTACAGATACAAACTACCTTTACTTCCGATATCAAGTTCTGACGGCGTTGTTATAGTGTAATATATTATAATATCTAGTAGTCAGTGAAATGTTTTGATGAAATCGATTGAAAATTTACCAAAAGCAACAGTTATAACATCTGTTCATACGAAGCATGTGTCAAGTTTTTAACGCGTTGGCAGCCGATTTCTCCGGCTATTGACAGGTTGCTGTTCTGTGGACACAATCGACGCGGAACCGAGAGAAGCAAGCTCAGGATATTTGAAATTGATTTATTAATTATATGATATCAAACTCCAGGTAAAAGCATTTATTCTTTTCATCCAAAATTTTTCTGCCCAAATATTACTTTGGGATACAAAACAAAACCATATGGTTCAACGTACGGCACAAGCTATCAGCGGTCTTCTCTTTTGTGCGGACCTTTGTGAGAACAGTATAACATCGAACTGGATCTAAATTTAAGCGATTATTTCTTCACTTCAGAAGCCTAAAACCTTCATTTCTCCCTCAGCTTCCAGACATGGAGAGTTTATATTCTGATTTTGGAAAAAATTAAGCTCTGCAGCGATGTTAAATGGGTGATTCACCGCGAAATGTGGCCAATTCCGGCATTTGTTTTGATACCACGAATCACGATGGATGCCGCCTACTTTTCGAAGGCAATACCTAGCTATTTGTTGAAGTTATCATGGATTTCACCAATTTGGTTATTAGAAAACTCTGAAGTGAGCCATGAAGCCGGGCTGCAAAGCGGGTAAGCTGTATTTATGACAAAATCTGCTCCAGTGGTTCGATTTTGGTGTAGGCGAAAAAATCGCGAATGCTCGTACATGTGCTGATTCAAACGGTCATAACTTTTGAAAAATAGAAAACGTACGGGGGTTTTTGCATATTTTTGCCTATAAAGGTCTAAACTTAACGGCTGTGTAGGATAGAATCGTCAACCAGGTCCCAAATCCCAAAACTTAGCGTCTAAATCAAGGTTATTTACGGCCATCGGCCGATGGCGATTTCTAGTGGTCAGAATATGCTAAAATTCGCCTTTTCAAATATGTTGAGAGGGCAAATTCTAACTTTCTTGGCAAACTAGAAAGGTTTTTAAGCAATCTGATATAAATTCTGTGGCTTAACTATGCGAATCAAATATTTTACAACGTTACAAAATATGCCTATTTTTCAATTTTCGAGACGTTGCGACGGTCCCTACGGACTGGGAAATAATTATGGCCCGTAATGCAGTCAGAAAATTATTTCGAATCAAACCAAATCTAATTTAGTTCTTTCCTAGGTAAAGTCTTTCTGTTAACAGAGTTTCAGGCAAAATTATTTTTGACGCAAAATTGACCGGGTGGAAATAAGAGAGACAGCCTGTTAATTTCCTTAGCCAAAACAAACTTATTTTCACTATGGATATTATATCTCCTTATACTGTCATTCCCAATGACGAAGGTCTCCGGGCCCTCAAACATTTTTTCGATCGACGCACTGCTAAGGAACCTAGCTCTGAAACGCTACTCCGTATAGCCGAACTAGTTAGTACTTACACTCAATTGCTTTTCATTCGGTTGTAACCACTACAAGAAACTAATGGCGTAGCCATGGGTACTAAAATAGGACCCAGCTACGCCAATCTTTTCGTAGGTTTGTCGAAGATAAATTTTTGAGTCAATACCGCGGCCTCTAACCTGAACTCTACGGCCGTTACATTGACGACTGCATCAGCGCTACCTCCTCTACTAGAGAGGAGCTCACTCACTTTATAACCGCCGTCAATTCCTTTCACCTGGCTCTTCAATATACATGGGAAATTTCCGACACTTCTTTGGCTTTTCTAGACATCAAAATTTCAATTGAAGGCATATGCAGTGGTGTTTATTACAAGCCTATAGATTCAAATAGTTACTTGTTGTATTCATCTTCGCATCCATCACACGTCAAGAATTCCATACCTTTTTCACAGTTTCTCAGAATTCGTCGTCTGTGTATTGACGCCTCTGATTTTTCGGAAAAATCAGAGGCAATGTGCCAGTTTTTCGATAATCGTGGCTATCCTGCTTCTGTCGTTCAAGCGGGCCACCACTGTGC